GCTCTGATCACCTCGCAGTCTTTGGTTTTGCACGTTTACTCGTTTTTGCCACGACAGTAATGAGGAGCCTATATGATCCGCATAAATGTGTAAAGCTTCTCGTGGGTGACATCCATCATAATACAAACTGGAATAACCAGTTAGATGGGAACAAGATGTCGACATATCAAGGTGTGCGAAAATGGAAAAATTGGTCCCACCTACCATCTATCTGAGTCTCAGATGACTCAGCAGTTGCAGTCTGGACCTAAGAACTTTACCCTTCCGGTTTCTAATTACAATTCCGTGAACACAAGTGTTGTAAATGATTGAAGGTATTGTGATGATGATAGGATTAGCCCATCCCGCGGAATGCACTGAGGTGATTGGAATTTTGAACGAAAATGCTTATCTGACTTGATATAAAACAGGCAAGGAAATAGTACAATGTTCGTCGGTCCCATCAAGGCTAAGAACATGGTTTCGAAGTAAATGAAATCATCGTCTATACAACAGAGGTGGGTGAAAAACGTTGGATTGAGGAACAAGTAAAAATGTTCCGGAGTTCCAGCAACTTTCCAGATGATTACGAAGGGGAGATGTCAATAGTACGAAAAACAATCGATTGATGGTTGCTCAAGAATCTAGCCTTGCTAACAATAATCAAAGCATTTAGAGATAAAGACTACTATGCGTAAATAACGGCTTGATAGAAGGACATCAATGACCGCTGATGTTAGTGATGATGCCTAATCCGCGATATGCAACAGATCGATCTATGCAATTTGATACGTCATGAAGACTTACTGATTAGTTTGGTTATTCTTAAAAAGCAATTTGGATTTTTTTGTTATCATGTTTTAACGGATTTTCACTTTCCTGATAATATAAACAAGACAAAAAGCTGTAGTGTGATTGGACTGCTCTCTTCTCCCCTCTTTCTCCACTGTCTCATTCGTACCTTTGTGTCAGATGATATGCATCTATCCAGTAATGCCAACCGTCGGACAGATTCTCGTTCTGATCATTGTCACTCTCAAGCAAGACCGGTCGACCAATCAATCTCAATCGGGTTTCTTCATTCAATTTGAGAAGAACTAACTCGTACAATGTTTGCGGTGAATTGGACCAGTATCCATTCACGAATTCTCCGGAGAAAGGTGTGATTAGTGGATTGTGTTCCAACTGGATTGTGTTCAAGTGATTGAACGCTAAAATTAACAAACCAGGTGATAAACCCAACAGATCGTTTCCGGTCGCGTTGAATATCCGAAGTTTCCTGGAATAAAGTTGAACAGCATTTAATTTCCGTATTAATTTCTAACTGATTTCACAGAGCGTTAAGGTGAGAACACAGTCGAGGCCATTAATGGGATACAAATTAAAAGTTACATCAATCAAACGAAATTTTCCTGGTTCATAGTGAATCACTGATATAATGAGTTACTAACGTGCTTTAAAATGTTGTAAATAGATCCAATGTTCAGGATAGTAAGCTGCTTAATTGTGAAACGAGTTCAGTTGTGAATGTGTGATGGAGCACGGTGAATGATAAAGACGGCTTATTTAAAATCAAGACGGTGCTGTGACTACTAACTGATTGAAAATTTTGCCTGATGCGATCTCGTTTATCCAGTGCTGTAAACGCACTAGAGGTGTTCACTGATGCGTTTATACAACTGTCTTGTCGTACGATCAATATAAGCAGTATCACAGGTTAACAATGGCGGCCTGTCTTTATTCTGACATCGAATAGCGGAGAAAGGTGGTGGGTGAAACCGACCCAACTCAGTTTCGCAGGACCGAAGATGAACTTAAATTTAGTCCTTGGGAGTTCATTCAGTCTTTCTACAGCAGCGTCTACCTTAAAGGACAATATGAAGAATTATATCAACATATTCATGTTCACCAATCCCTTGGTTTTAACATTTCGTGAGATTGTTTCTTCCTCTATGAAAGAAAAAATACTGAAGATGTCTACCTATTTAGATCAGATTTACCTATACACAGTTTTGTTTTTCTTGTATCACATATGAATATCTGGTACGATATGCCGACAACTCATTTCTTCGCGGTACAATATTTGCACTCACGAATCAATAGCCGCAGCAACAGCAGCAGTAGATGACAAATGAAAATCAGTGCATGTAGGCGTAACTCACCTCAGTCTTTTCATCTTACTATCCAATTGTTGAATGAAGTTGTAAGATATATCCAGCTGTTCTAAATTTTTCAGTTTGTATAGGCTAGTAGAGTGAGGTCAACGTAAGAGGACAACCGAGTTATACGCACTAAGATTAAAAAAATTTCACCGAATATAGTCGGCAATAAATCAGTAGAAAATATTATACTACTCACGAGTAGCAAGCTTTGAGATGAAAATAAATACATACAGAACAGCTAAAATGGGTTAACGGGCGCAATAACCACACGTAGCAAGAGAAATTATCGACAGTGAAAGAAGTGCACGTGAGTCACATCTTGAACACCAGATTATCAGAGATGTATACTGCAACAGCGAAAACACGTGAGCAAACACAAATTCACACAAAGTGGGGAAATTAGCGATTAGTAAAATAAAATATCAAATCACAAAAATATGTCATAGCTCCTACTTTCTATTGATGAAATATTTGGAACCATCCACCGTCTCATAAGCCTTTCCATGGTGCATGCAGAATTTTTTTAGCTTTCTAAGACATCATACTATCGTCCCAGCATCTTTCTATAAATTTTTAAGGGTATTTCGCAAGTGTGGTCTTTCAGTTCACTTGAATGACACTACCAAATGCTAAAATTTATCAAATTCGTTTAGTTTCGGTTACGAGACAATGCAAATTGAAATTTTTTAAACTACAGTGCCTACTGATATGTTGTAATATCTCGGCTAGTATCACTTAGTGTTCAGTTATTAGCCGATATTGACACTTGGTACAAGACAGATTTTGAGATCACCATGACGGAGGTTTTGTGAATGGTGGCCCTATTCATATCGATCGCAATCACCCTGGGGTTTTCCTTTCTAAGGCCGTAGTGAAAATATGTTTATCATCTTTCAGAATAGATTGAACAGTGGGCACAGATTCCGGGTTTTGGGTTGTCAGAGTGCATCGATAGTTTTCGAAACGGCAAATATTGGTACCCGAAGACATCCAGTTGCGTGATGACAGTGTGTGTGTGCTAAATCCCACTTCTGACACGTTGCTTTGCTAGAGTACACCTCAGTGTTCTCTTGTTCCAACACCACACTTACCCGTTCAGTGGGTGTTACGGTTAAACACACCGGGCTTTCAGAACAATACGCATGACCGTCCTCACTGTGTTAAGCTTTAAATGTGCTGAGGTTGCCTATGATGTTCCACTACCAAATGAATTCAGAACGTCAATGTAACGGTAGTTTTATTTCCCCTCTACTTTACCGTTGTGATCGCTATCATATGCATGCGAATATGATTGCATTAATCTCACAGATATTCACTTATACTGCACTCATATTCTATAAAGTTAATTGCCATTTTCTTGTCCCGTTGAGACACTCCGGCTCAAATAATGCACTGTAGAGCATAATCATATCAGTTCAAAGGTCCCATTCGAAATCTGAAGGGCAGGGACTCAACATGTAGTAAGCAGAGATGTGTCTCATTTATTCCGACAACATAGAAATTTCTTGGTATTCTGTTGTATATTATTATTTCAGCTATTCTGAAAATACAAACAAATTGAAAATGAACTATCTCATCTGGATGGAGAATGTTTAGATTAGCCTATTCGGTTTTTCACAGGTACCAGGCATTTTTGACAATCTTAAGTGTGGGTTTCTCTCCTTGGGAGATCGTTGATTCCTCACCAAAAATAGTCTTTGTCGGACATCACGAAATCACAATTAAATACATTTAGCTCATGAGGAATTAACGATATTCCAAACAATAACCTTCTAAATTAATAGAGCCGTTCGTAAAAGTTGATGACC